GACGGAATTTTTCTAGTCGGATTCCAATGCAATTCCGTTTCCAGGAATCCGATCGGATTTTGTCGGATGGTCGGATCCGGTAAGATCCGATCGGATCCAGCATCGGATTTGTTGACCTGGGTAGAGAAAAAAATACAATCTATGCGAAGCAGGTAGTCACAAATGGCGCTTTATTGAAGTACCAAGCTTTCGCTCTGGAAGTGCCTGTCTTTTTCTGAATTATTTTCACAGATGAAAGATTTATACGATATTGATTGGAATGTCGCGTTTCAATTTAGAGAAGCAACACTTCACATAATTACAGCAAGCATGAAATTAATGAGTGGGTGAAAAAAAATGTTTTGATATTCATTCTATTGTATGAACAATTGTTTCTGGCGCTTTCTGATTGTTAAACTGAACGACAGGTGTAGTACGAGTTTTTCGTTGACTCTTGCAATGTACGATGTGTTTCCATAAGAGTCGGAAGAGAAGTTCGCCCAACTCGATCATACTCAGCACACTCAAACCAATCCATCTAGATATATTCAAAAAGACAGATTGGATGAAAAACACAACACTAATTCGACTTACAAGCCAGTCTGTCCACCAATGGAAGCAAAGACATCGATCCATGACACTTTCGCTTCCTGTTTGTATTCCATAACATATTTGCTTCCACATGCAATTTCTACTCTGAAATAATTCTGATCCATATAATAATCATAACGTTGAACAAAATCCGGCGGTGCCAGAAACGACGTCGTATTGTTCGCATTGAAAAGTGCCGTAGCCCAAGTTGCCTTCACCGCATTGGATGGTGCCTGTTGTGCGCTGACGTCCATGTTGAAATGGGTGTATTGACATTGCGAAGTACAGTGAGCACACCACAGGGTTTGCAATTCATCGCTGTCTGCTAGTTGCTTCTTAGCAACAAGTGCACGTGCAAATTCGTTTGTTATCGGGCTGCACGTACGCGCAGATGTGCGACTTCCATCGAGTTTGAAAACATTGCGTGCGAAGAATGGGATCGGTAGAATGCACGAGCATTGTGAAAAGATGTAGGCCTGCTCGCACAATTCGTTACAAGCTGCCTCGGAATAGACAATCGTTTCCGATATGTTGCCGTCACCGTACGTTGCCCTGTAGAGAGCACGTAAGTCTTCAGTTACTTTGGATGTGCATAGACTATATGGATGCGGAAGAAAGGTTTCTAAAATCTTGTGGTAAGTTGTCAAGTGAGCGAAGCCGGGTGCAAGAGTAAGACCATTCTCCATGTTTAATGGAAATTCTGCACTGTCATGAGGGTGAGGGGTGTGGTTGAGGGTGAGGGTATGTATGTATAAGTCAAACTAAATCTATTTCTATTCCTAAGGGTGCTAGGAATTGGTCACTTATATTATAAGTCTAATTAGGTAGCTACTCCTTATCAGATAATGAAAAGTTCATTATGATCTAGTCAAGTTTATTAATTTCATATTCACAATTTTTCGAAAAATATATCTCGCTGAAATATTTATTCTATAAAACTAATTGTTTAATTGTCGTTCATTACTCCATTTATCTAAATCGTAATTTGTTGAGAATAACATGAATGCGTATAACTCAAGTCATGAACAAGATACTCCATGCCTAATTCACTTAAGCGAGTATTTGACCACGATGTTCTATCGTCTCCATTGCCTGTAGTTACAGTGAAATCTGCACATATTAATCTCGATAAACTAGTTAATAGACGCATCATTTGACATTCCTTCATTATTCGCCATTTTCTTATATATGATATACCCTTTACACTCTGGATCAACTTCGTTTCTGTTGGAAAACCTACCGAGAAGAAAGTTTAAGCTAATACATACCAAAAAGTGATACGTTGAAAGCAGTTTGCAGCCATCTCTGGAATTTTTTAAATTGGCAATAAGTTTTCGAACTCTTCGAGACTTGATCAATGTTTCACCGGATGATGTCTTGCAAAATTTTCTTAACACTGTCATTTTATGAGTTGCTCTATGAGGTTTTTCAATTTTTGGACTGAAGAATCTGCAAAAAATATTCAAGACACCCTTCCGTCTTTGACAGCACAGTGTTCTCTACAAAAGTTTTCCATGAAGCGAACTTTATCTCGAGTGCATACTGTCGTTGTTTTATTTGTTTTTGTTTGATGTTGTGTGTCTTCTCATTATATTCGAATATGAACAAGTCAATAACAGTTTATCACAATTACAATGGAGGATTTTTCTACATAAATGAATATTTCTTGAGGGTGAGAATGATGTAAGTTAAAGGACCTAAAGGGACCGAAAGCAGTAAAGAAACTAAGAGTTTTTGTAGGTTAAAGATAAATACGAGAGGATAAAAGTAATTGTTCGTGAATCTCTCGCTCTATGGGTGACATGCAAATGTATTGTCGACATTTTATTCAAAGAAATGAGAAAATTTTTTGTCATATACAAGTGTATAATTGACTGTTGTTTTCTTTGCAACTGTTTGTACGATGTAAATAGCTTGTAATTTGGTGCGTAGGACAGTTTAATGCGAGTTGTATAACATCATTTCTTAGCTTTCGCCACAACACAGTCGACAATGTCTCCAACAGTGCGGAATTTTTGAGTTTCTTCATCAGTAATTTCGATTTGAAAATTTTGTTCAATGGCGAAAATAAGTTCCACGGTATCGAGATCGTCGAGACCAAGATCTTCATTTAAACGTGTGTCCGCCTCAACCGTATCAGGTGATGCGCCGATTTTTGCAACAACTATTTCTTTTACTTGATCAAAGACACTCATGACTGTTTTCAAATGTAGCGATAGTTCGAAGTATTCCTTTGAATCTTTTATCTATTACAGAAAGAAACAGAAAAATTAGTAAGAGTGTAAAAAGATGAGTGCCACGAGCTCGACTACATGCGTTGTGTGTATTCTATTTGCCCTTATATCAGCACATTCTTATGCACTTTGGATTATCTTTCCTTTTCTTGTATTCGGTAGACGAGTATATCAACGCATTTTTTGTATCAGTATGGAGCAATCTTTGAGAGAAATAAATGCGTAACTCCGTCGGCGCATACAGGTCTTCCACCGCATTTCTTTGTACAGCAAGCTCAAGCATAGCAAGGTAATCACAGAAATAGAAGATGATATATGTGCAAGTACACATACAGGGTTGGCACTAATAATATTCCACGGGGGTAAAGCCATATTTCTGAATGGCGACCCTAATGAATTTTATACCAAATGAAAGTCCGACAAACATGAAGTTCCCTAATGCCGAAATATAAGAAATAGAGCGATATGAAAATGATCTTGTCTACCATTCTGCACACCATTAAACTCTCTCTCTCTCTGTCTTATGTAATTTTCTGATAGAAAGAAAACAAAAGTCGTCCGAATAGCTGCTACTACGTGCATCTAACAACAGAATGTGAAAGGAGTGCCCGATTTGTTCATCAAAAACACCTCTGATAATCGCTCGAACAAAAATTTTCTCGCTTTTTCTTTCATCCGCTGTCCCTTGGAGTTAGACTATACTTTCGAAATTTCAAAACTTTCGAAAGTTTGCTAGACAAAGGTCGACAAACCCTTTATATTTCGGCATCAAATAACTCCATTTTTTCCGGGCTTTCATTTGGTATTCGAAATAGTAGCGTTACCCCCATGGAATAATATTATTTCCAACCCTGTACATATAATGACAATACAATCACGTATTACGAAATGCGCAGTAGAAATCTTATTACGCAATAACGACAGAAAATATGAAAGTCAATCTCAAATGTTTCTTTGACCCTGAGAGAATAAGAGCGAATGTAGAGTAATGAGATGAAAGAACGAAAGAAATACATGTACATTATTGATTGATGTTTCATATCTTTGTTGAAAAATAGAGTTGTTGTTGCACAAGAAAAAGAAACGCCCAGTGTTTATGTTCTAACCTAAACATCAGTGACAATCCACTATTTTAAACAAAAATCAATTTTTTAATTTTGGTTTACTTAAATCTACATCATTCTCAGTCGAGCAAGTTTCTCGGCGATCCATGAGATGTTGTACTGAAATCAAATGAAATGAACTCAATTTTTCAATAAACTTGGATATCGTTAATCCATATATACGTAGAGATAGATTTTTATCGCTCTTGAAATTTGTTTAATTCAGAGTTTCTGAGGTATCGAAAATCTCTGTTTGTAAATTCTTAAAATTTTTTTGATAGCAGCAACTTCGGAAACTCAATAAGAACTTCCAATAGTACAAGGTTTTTTGGGCGGTAGTCAACAAGAAAACAAACGAGAAGATTTACCTTTTGATTGAATAGTTCGTCTCGTTACGTTTTAAATGACGATAAAAGCATGGTTTGTCGTTTATATAGCGTCACTTATACGTTCTTTCTTTTCGTCATATTTTCTTTCCTTATTTATTTCATTTTTCCTCCATCTTTTTGTTGTTTCAGTCGTTTGCCTCTACGAAAGCTGTTCAAAAAGGTTAATACCCGAGTTTCCTCCCAATTTTCAATTTCCCTCTCTCCTCATGTTGTCCCCTATCATAGAAACTCTCTTCTTCTGCATTAGCACTAATTCAAAACCATCGTTCTATACCCATGTAAAGGCAGTCTTTCATTTCATCTGAGAAGTCATTGGTGAATTTGTTCGAACTAAATAAACACGTATGAATGATTTCAATTGTCAAAAGAGAGTAGTTCGAACCAGCTTTAGCATCTTTTCAGTATTTCTGTCGATACTTTGTTTTTTCGGTGAGTGCTCTCGGGGAGATCATTTCGCCAGTGGATAGACCATGTTTGGTTCTAGCTGTGATAAAAAATTAGCTTTCTATCGTTTTATCCTCATCGATTTCAGAAAAATAACTCAGTATTTTTTTTTTGAAGATTAATGAAGATATTTGAGTAAAAACATTTGCATTGTTACCTGATACAGATGTATACAAAGTTGCTAGATCGATTCTTCTCGATATTGGGACACGAAGAAAATGTATATCTGTCCTCCACAGCCGACGGTTAAATGAATTGGCACAACAAGCGTTACTTTCCAATAATAGTAAAAAAGAACTTGAAAGTTTTGTAGTTATTATATCTCACTCTCAAGATAAGTACACATACAACTATAAGGCGGATGGTCCACTTTAAATGCATAAAACTGGAAAGAGTACAAAAAAAAACATAAGTTATATGAAGAACAGCTTGCATTAGTGGTGCAATTTTATCTACTACTTAGGGCATTCCAAAAGTAGTGGGGAAGACCCTTTTTTCCTTACAAATAGGTTTTGAAAAAAAACTTTTTTAGCAATCGATAGAACGAGAAAAACTGCATCTTCCTATGCTAATTGATCTATGTCAAGCTAAGGTTATATTAATGACACTTCAACAAAACTCTTTTTTGCTGAGATCTGGCTGGTATTAACAGTACAAAAAAAAAACAAATAGATGTGTTTTTTCCGTCGTTTTTCCTTTAGTTTCTCTTGTTCTTTCTTTCGATGTTGTTTTTCTTTCTCTTCTGATTTCTAACTATAGATTCATTTCGTGTTAAACGGGAAATAACAATAATAGCATAGGAAAGTAGGCGACTAACTTTATCAGTTGTTTATCTGATCAAATGTTCAAAATAATGACCTTCATGATCGATACACAACTGCATTCTCTCGATCCATTTTTCAAATGTTTTTCAGTACTCTTCTTTATTGACCGATTACATGAAATTCACTATAGCATCATGTAATGATTGCGAATCATTGTAATCGGTGAGATTGTCCTTGATGAAGTCGAACAACCAGAAACCACATGGCGATAAGTCAGGAGAGTTGGCTGGATGTGGTATCACTGTGAGACGTTCTGATCGAAGATAAATGCATGTCTGTTCATGGATATGTGGTTTTCCATTATCATGATGTATCTTAATCCCACGTGTTCCATACGAAGGTCTTTGACGTTTAATTTCATCCACTATGGGACGTAAACAATTGTTGATGTAATATTCGTGATCTATAGTCTCTCCACGTAATGGAAGTTAGCAGCGGATTCGAGTATTTCTTGCTGACATTAGCCCTAGTACTTGGGATGTCTCTGAAACTTATGGGATAGATAGATCTCGTCATTCTGCATCGAATGATGTAAGATAGGTAGGGGTCACCGACCGACTACACCAGTTTTACCAGTAAATAGTGGTAAAATAGTAGATTTTACCAGTATATCCTGCTGATATTCGCCCCAGTACTTGGGATATCTCTGGAACTTCTGGGATGGATAGATCTCGTCATTCTGCGTCGAATGGTGTAAGACTCAACCCACGTTTTATTTTCTCGCATATAAGAGGACGCGTGTGTTTTCGAAATAAACACAGATACATAGCCGTGCACGTCAGAAACAACGTCTCTCATTGTAAAACACTGAATGTCCTTATGAACAATTAACCGACAGGCATATCATTTAATAATATTCATTGATCAATCGCTTTTCTTTTACTTTCCAAAAAAATGCAATTGAAAATTTCTACTGCATAATGTATTCCTTCGGTTCATCACATCGTGGGGGTAACATCAGTGTGAAGCTAGCACGAAGGAGCTACCACGAAAAAACTGTGTGTAAGCTAAAAACTTTTTTCCAGAGTTTGTCCGGTTCATAAAACCTAGTCCATTCGATTCAGAATGTAATTCTGCATCGAATGGTGGTATTTTTATTCACCGGACAAACTTTGGAAAAAAGTTTAACCGCATCTTTGTTTGCCTCATATAGGTCTACTTATGTTTCCGATAATTTTTTCCAAAGTTTGTCCGGTGAATAAAAATACCACCATTCGATGCAGAATTACATTCTGAATCGAATGGACTAGGTTTTATGAACCGGACAAACTCTGGAAAAAAGTTTTTAGCTNAAGTTTAACCGCATCTTTGTTTGCCTCATATAGGTCTACTTATGTTTCCGATAATTTTTTCCAAAGTTTGTCCGGTGAATAAAAATACCACCATTCGATGCAGAATTACATTCTGAATCGAATGGACTAGGTTTTATGAACCGGACAAACTCTGGAAAAAAGTTTTTAGCTCACACACAGTTTCTTCGTGGTAGCTCCTTCGTGCTAGCTTCACACTGATGGTTAATTAAATGTCAGCAAAAAATACTCGAATCCGCTGCTAACTTCCATTACGTTAACTGAAGCCGGTAGATTAATTTCATTTTGACCAGTACAAACACTTGTAATGACTGGATGAGTAGTACAACTAAGTTTTTGGTTAATACTGATGTCAACATCAATACTAATCACATGAGATGCAGCATCGTGATCACCGATGCACAGTACTGTTGGCACTGAAAGTCCATCTACTGGATAGGCAGCTTTAAACAAGCATATGAATGAAACGGAATGCAAAATATTACATTCGTACTTACAAGATTTTTTTGTAATGATGTGTATTAAAGTTTTATCCATTCAGTGAATGCTGAAAATGACTGTGAGCATAGTTTTTCATTGTTTATTTATAGATGTCTTGTAAGGAAGAACAACAAAATTTCCGTGAAGAACTGTGACACAATATTTACTTTGTCATTTAGTTTTCTTATCTAATTTGAGTCGCTGTTACTCATAATCTGCTATCACCAGGTTTTTTCCCAATCTTATATCTAATCGCAACACATCAACTGGAGATAAAAACAAAAAGGAAACACTTTCATCGCGATAATATGGTTGTGGGCGATAGTGACTGTGGGTTGATAAGTTGAAGATTAATATCGACGATGTGTTAGAACACGAGAACGTTTTATTATTTCAAAAATGTGGGCTTTATATAGGTTTTAGAAAAGCGCTTTGAAAAATCCAACATCATGACACATAGAGAGAATGACGTCAGAAACAAAGATGTATATCTGTAAAACATATGGTGGTCATATAACATGACGTCATATAGAACGAACGAACATCTGTATGATGTTATAAACATATGACATAGAAGAATGGAAAAATACATATACGATGTCATGGACAGAACGCGCAAGAAATACCATATGACGTCATCTGATTGACCCACATCTTAACAGGGTTCTATCTTCCTTATCAACCTCATTTAGAAGATTACAGGTAACTCATTTATGGAGTATAACATTCGAAGCTGTGATCGATAAATGAGGAATAGCAGCCGTGTCTTATAACATGTTCATGAATTTTGGCTTATTCTTTATTCAAATCTCAATACTTATTGATTCTCTTAGTTAATCAAACGAAAATCGATAATGAAACAAATAACACTCGTCGAAGAACTGATTTATTTTATCTCTTTCATTAAAATATCCCCAGTAGTATTGACTTTCTTTTGTTCATGATAATGATGATCAGTTTGCTATTGATTTTTCTGAATTTCACACCAAATAGAAAGCTGAAAGAAATATTTATTCAATGAATATAAACTCTTTAGTTTTGAAAACGTTTGTTATTTTAACATTCTTATGACAAACAAAAGTATCAAATGTCAATTATTGAAAAGGTACAACTGCATTTCTTTGAAATCGATTTTGAATTTTGAATATAATTTTAATTATAAATGGGATAATCAACTTCAAAGAAATAGTTAACCCTCCGTATAAACCTAAAACTTTCGAGATTGTGTAAATAACATATTCATCTCTTTGAATTTGATAAGAACACGAGATTGGAGAACATTGATCATAAAAGGATGAATAAGATCTATTAACCATCCATTCTTCCACAAATAATTGATCAACCATGTCTCGAACTGTTGTATTGCTTTGAAAGCGACTTTTCATTGAAGAATCAATAGGTGATACATACATATAAGAAGGATGAGTGGATCTTTTAAGATGATATAATAATAAATCAGTACAATTTCGATCGTAAAAACATTCCAATGTTGAATGTAACACTGTTTCAACGACTGAACATCCAATGTTCCATCCAGGTATAGAAAAATCGACCGTGCTACCATGACTATACATATAAAAAGAGTATTTATTTGATTCTTATACATTGAATTTCCGTAAGAATGAAAGAGTCGTCAGTATAACATGAAATCTCATTCTGATTACGATTAATTGAAATTTAGTTTTTGGTGATACTTATCTTAGTGCGAAACTATAATGAAGAGAGATTAAGATGATAGACAAAAAGAAAACGCTTTGCAAAATGAGAGGTTCCACATCGAGCTCGTCACTCTATATACAAAGTATGAAGTTGAAATTCACAAGTTGAACTAGAGGGCAATTGATATAGTATAAGCACTTACGGGATTAAGTAAAAGATTCTGGCTGGTTCCTTACAATCACTTCGTGTTCCACAAGAACATTCGTTGTTGATTATGATTGGACGTGTAGGAATCGTATAGAAAATACGTGTTAGATCTCTCCACCATTCCCAATTTAATAAATGTCCAGACACAAAAGCATTTCCATCCAATATATTACGGATCAGTTGAAAACTTCGAGAAAATTTTGCTGAACTTGTAAGTTGAAATTGTGAAATCGTATTGTTGATTTGCATTTCAAAATCTGATTTTGATATTAATCGAATGTTAATAAATGTGCCATTAAGGAATTGATCAATGGCATCATGGATTGTTGTTTCAAGTAATTGACATAGAGATGAAAGAAACGAAAAATATTCTTTACCTCGTGTGCGAAGATCAGATCGATGAAAGTTATACTCTATTTGATATGCCAAATAATCACGCCATTCTCTTTTAATGAAATCGCTTACACATACTGAATGAAGTCTTGTCTCTATTTGCATAAAATGTTTATATTCAATGGATATTTTCGAACAAGGACAATCGAGCGACTTAGAATGGAGTATGAACAATTTGTGATATTCATCTTGAGAAGGATTTGAAATTGATTTCATTACAATAACACTTGAATAAACTGTATAGATGATTATAATGGCGATAGAAACTATCAGAATAAAGAAATAAAATCTTGTTGATATTCGTTCACGGTCAATTGTTTCAATGTCATTTGATTCACTATCAAATGCATTTAAAATTTCTAATTTGTCTTTGATTCCAAGTATTCGCTTGTTAAAACGATTAAGAATTGTGTTATTTTCTAGAAAATCAATAAGATTTATTTTAGGTCGAAAGGCTATACAGTTCAGGGTTGGTCAGATCCAACAGGTGCGCAAGGTTCTATAATAAAACATACTCGCAGAATTCAATACGAATTGTCGCTATTCTGAAAAAGGAAATGTCTCGAATCAGCTATCAACACCATTGATCAAACATCAAAAATGTATTCAGAAGATGGACAGATTATGTTACTAATCTCTTTTTATAGAATATTTCTGCCGAAAATAACTTACGATGTTGATCTTCTCGTGTAATTTGTATTAGTAGCCTTTTCGATTGTTTCACTTTCGCAATAATTTTCATAATAATTTTGATAATAAAAGGAGAAATCATTCGTAGAGTAATATTAACTCCTCCAATAAGACTAAGAATGAACGTAATTATATACAAAATATTCCTTTTCCTTTCATAAGTCACTGAACAAGATTTCGGCCGACATTTATGATAAAATTGTTCATAAGAATATGAATAATTCCAATCTTCAACCATCATTTCATCAAAAATTCTCTCGATTAAACTATCCGAAGAATATCGACTAGGTAATTTCGGATCAAGTGCTTTCACAGAGACAAATTTCGATATATCTGCAAGTATTTGCAGTCGTGTTAAACAACCTTTTTTAAACCAACATATCATTGAAGATCGAAGTACTAAATCAACAATCGAACAACCACCATATATTCCTTCCAATTGCCAATCAATCTCAACGAAGTAACCGTGGAGAAATATTTGAAAATTCACTGGACATGACCAATCACGAATACAATGACAATATTGACCTGTCATATTATAAATATATGGTGCATAGACATTTATCGTTGCTCCATAATGGCCAGTTGCATTAGTCATTTGTAGCGCTTTTAGATCAGCACTAACTCTCATCTGACTAACGTAATAATTACTTTGAATTGAAAGAGTGGTTAAAGACATTTTATAATGAAAATCAGTTCGAATTGAGCGAATCAATTGATGGATTAATGAATTCATTGTTAGAAGAAATGAATGATTCGACAAAAGTTGTCCATTGACAAAATCGGTTTTTAAAAAGCGTTGAATTGAATCATGAATTGTTGTATTTGCGAAATCACAAAAAGCTGCTAATGTTCGAAAATATGATGAAGCGAATGATAAAAATTCAAGTCTTCTTTTAAAAGAATTCGAAGAAAGGAAATTTTCATACCAAGATGGTCGAATCAAATCGCTTGAACATATTTGATGAAGTCTTACTTGAATTTTTGTGAAATCTTCATACTGTACCAAAATTTGAGTACATGGACAAAATAATTTTGTAGAATATTTCTCATATAAACGTTGATATAGTTTCCAAGTTGGATTTGCAAATGTTTCATTGATTGTTTGATTTGATAAATTAGAAAATAAAATTATTATTATGATTGAAATTAATAATAATGTTACATATAACCATGTGGACAAAACACCATGATAGACGCGAATTTTATCACGAGAATGTCGACTATAGACATTCAGATCGATCAGTTTGCTTTCGAGCTTTTGATAAATTCGTCTTAAACGACTTCGTTGGACTTCATCTAAAATCATCTCTTTTAGTTCAGATCTCATATGACGGAAGGTGAGGATAAAACAGAGAGTCATTTTCGGTTTAGACCTCGAAAACAAATGATTTTCATTGTTTGAATGTTATAGAAGAGTCTAGTTTAGACAAAAATCTTACTCTGGTGTTGTCTGATTGCTTTGGATTTCTTTGAACAACAAGCATTTTTGAAAAATATCATCAATTGAACAATGAGTGGAGCAATTAAACGTAATACTGCTGTTACCCCTCCTAAAAGGCCAAAGAGAGTAGTTAGAATATAAATTGTATTGAAACGATTCAAATGGATATAATAACAAAAATTTGGTTTGCATTGAGAATAATATTCTTTGTAATGGATTTTCGAACGAATTTCTTCGATGAAAAGTTCAGTTATAAGAAGTTCAATTTTAGTTGTTTGATTGAAACGTGATGAATCGAATTCATTAAGAACTGAAATACTGAATTGCTTGGGATAAAATGAAAGAAGACGTTCTAAACATGTTCGATTATAAAAACATTGTAATGTTGATAAAAATGTTGTTTGAATCGGTAGACAATCAACCATTAAACCCTCAAATGTTTCTATTGGTTGAATTCGATTGAGATCATAAACTCCAAGTAGTATAGATAAATTATAAGAATAGATACTCCCAAGTAATGGACAAGAGACATTATTTTTACATAAACAAGGTATTGTAGAATTTGGAAATAGAAATATATTTTCAAACATTCCAACATAAATCGATAAAGGCATTATTGGAGTGTGGAATGTTGGAAAATTTATATCCATATATTGATATTTTTCTGTTATTGGAATCGAATTTGTTGATAATGCTGTCATTAATTGATTTGCATGTGTGATTTTATTAACAATTGATATTGATTGAATGAAATTTAATGAAACCATTTCAATTAAGGAATTTAATGTGGATTGAATTTTTGCTGCTAAGAAATCTTCAGTTAATAACATAAGACTAATTAATGATGATTTCTTAAATTGATCAAGTGCATCGACAACTGTTGTGATTGAACTTTGACAAAAATAGTTAATTAACTGCCACATTGCACTTAGACTCGTTCGTATGTCAATCGGATAAATTGAAGTCGAATCAACTTGAAAGAGGAAATCGATCCATTGTTGTGATATGAAATCACTTGAACACACGCGATGAAATAAAGCATTGATATCAACAAAATGTTGATAAACAATTGTAGCTTTTGTACATGAACATGTCAAACTATTCGAATATTTCTTTTGAAGATTTGTATATGAAGAATAATCCGGAGATGAAATCGTTTGACTTTCATATTGATTGGTGATCGAGGTGAAAATTGTGATGGTAAGAAAAGATATGCAAAGGAGAAGAATATAGACACGAGTTGATAAAATTTCTCGACGAAGAATTATTGGATCAGTTGATCGCGATTCGAATAGGTTCAATTGAATCCATTTTTCACGAATATTTTTATATAAGATTTTAAATAACAATCTTATGCGCATTTTTATGTGTTCAGCAAGGTTACCTGGAGAAACTGCGTATTCACAATGATTTGCCAGCGTTGTGACACTAATCTAAAAGTTTTTTTTTCAGCATCTGGACTAAACAACACTGATGAAGTTAAAGATCAACAGATGTAATTTGAGTTTTTTTTGTCCCATAAATTTCAAAATTGTGTGAAAGAGAAAATCTGACTTACAGAGCTTGAGTTGAACAATGATGATATAGAATGTTGATTCAAACAAATGACGTTGAACATTTCAGTCATGTTTCCTTTTTACAAAAAAAAGCGGAGAGTTACATCTGTCAGATAGTTTATGAGATTAAAATAAGGTTTGTTAGAAAATATTCACAGATTTCTTCATCTCAACAAAAGTCATTGATAGAATCGATCAGTGTGACCGTCCGTTTGACATTATGGATGCGAATGGAACTGAAATACGAACACTGTATGGATATTTGAAATCACAAAAAAGAAATTTATTGCTTTTTTTTAGAAATCGATATGATCGATTAAAGAAAAGAACGTGTTTTATATTTTGTAGCATTGCCATTATGTTGATCATATCAATCATTGTGATTATTGTGAGTCCTATTGTAAAAGGAATGTTGAATCGCAGAAAACCGACAGCAACTGTGACGATAACAACAACATCGTTAATTATGACAACAACAGAAAGAAAAGGTAAAGTCTTTTTCGTCTGAAAACATGATGTGTTAATCAGATTTTCTGAATCAGTTCGAGCTTATTCCTCCTGGAATCAATATGGATATACAATAGTTGGAAGCGACGGACCAAGTCCGAATTTGACCGAACTCCACAGTCCTACCGGAATCGATATTGATGATGATGGAACAGTTTATATTTGTGATAGTATGAATCATCGTATTATTAGACGAAGATCAAATTCGACGACTAATGAAGTTGTTGCTGGTGGAAATGGCGAAGGAAACCGGATTGATCAATTAAATACACCATTAGATGTTATTATTGATAAAAAGAAAAATTCTCTCACCATTTGTGATTTCAAAAACTATCGAATAATGAGATGGTCTCTTCAAAACCAAACAGAACCACAAATAATTATATCTAAAATTGTTTGTAGAGGCCTTGCAATCGATCAAGATGGTACCATATATGTTAGTGAATATTATAATGACATAGGTATAGTAAAACGATTCAAAGACGGCGACTTAGATGGAGAAATCATAGCTGGTGGGAATGGACGAGGAAATCATTCGAATCAGTTGATGGCTCCTAGTTATCGCTTTGTCGATCATGATTATTCAGTCTATATATCAGAGAGGGAAAATACTCGTATATCAAAATGGTTGAAGGATGCGAAAGAAGGTATTGTTGTTAGCGGACCTAGTTTTGGAGGTAATATGCGACAAATGAGATACAATCGTGGATTTACCTTGGATTGTTTTGGTCATATTTTTATAGCTGATTCTTGGAATAATCGAATTGTACGTTGGTCAAAAGATCTTCACGATGTGATGGTTATTCTTGGTGGATACGGATGGGGTCGTAAATTACATGAATTAAATAGACCAGATGATGTAGTATTAGATCGTCAAGGAAATCTTTATGTTGTCGATACAAATAATCATCGAGTGCTCAAATTTGATGCAGAAGATTAAAGTTTTTATTCTAATAAATATAAATTTGAAGTCTAACACCGTCCGGATTGTACGTTAAATAAACCGAGAAATATTTCAGTTTCACCTTCGAATGTGATACTGATACTCTTCATTGTTACTATGACATGGGTCTTACAATCTGATCTACAAGAAAGCGTTTAGTAACCTCAGTCCAATGTGGCATCAAACATAGTCAATCAATACAATTTGTTGAACTCATTTTTTGGTCTATTCAAGAGGATAAAATAGCAAATCGTTTACTCGAATATTGGATGTATTCATAGTAGTGGCGTAGCCAGGGCAGACTGAACCTGTCCACCGCCGATTTCCTGGTTACGCCACTAAGAAGAATAATGGCAAGTACATGTTTGATTTACTCGTGAATTAATATTCATATGAATATTTTGGAAAAAAGATATAGTTATTTTGAATTACAAAAACAATTCGATTAATAAGACGCGGTACTATACATGATCTACCCGAGGTGCTTATTGATATATACTTTCCAAGCATTGCCTGAAAAAAAAACTATTTAATATTTATTTGGCTACCTCATATTAATACACAGGAGCATATCGACTGAGGGAGCAAGGGTTACAATGCGTCTCTCTCCTGTGCGCAATTTTTTACTAGAAATTCTACAATAAAATACCAATATATTGGAACTTCATGGAAAAGAAAAAGGAAAATGCTATCAAACATTGTTCATATAATTTCTACGTGATGATTCAAATTTCGATATAAATATTCAATAATTTGCCCAGCTGATATTTCATCAGTATTATGAGCAATTATTTTAAAGATAAGAAATGCATCGAAATGCATATATTCGAGAAAATCTCGTTCGTCATTTAATCTCTGCAATTTTGTTGTCTCAATTTCTGATGATTCAATTTCGCCAATTCGTAAATATTTTCTAGTCGTAGCTAATTGACGTCCAGTACTTAATGAAATAATCCATGATATTGTTGATATCATATTTAAAATTGTTAACACTATTAACCAAATCCAAACACCAAGAAAGATTTTTTCATTATACATATTAATTGGTAAATTACATTGGATTGAATACCAATGTTGATTTGATCCTAAATGTCGAATCATAAAATCACACATTGTTACACGAGGAAATCGAGGTGATTCAAACCAATCATGACCATTAAAAAGTTGATTCAATGTTTCAACACCATAACCAGTATATTGAAATGAAAGAAATGCATTGAGTAAAAAGAATTGTACAATTGTATTAATCATATAAAGAAATTTGATAATAAAGTATGTTAATGTATAACCAAGATAGAAGTTATTACAACGAATACCACAACAATTAGTTCGATGTAATTGATTCATTTGATCGAGATAACGTTTCATTGAATGTTTAACATAATCAACACCATCTGATTTCTCTTTAATCGTATGAACTAATTGTCGAATGTTAAGACCAGTTCGACGAGAAAAAGTGTGCCAGAGAAATTTTGGAACGAGGAAAAAAATAGCCATACCAAGTAGAATAAATGGTGTCCATTGATAATAAGAACTATAAATATCATTTACAAAATATATGTTTTGAAAATGAGAATATTTACATACACATAGTGGATTCGTGGTTTTGATCGATCAGGAATATTTACTAAATTTCATAATAATATTCGGTTTATGATCTATTATTGCCTTCTAATAGGATATAGAACATATTTTCTTCGGTTGGTAAATAATAAGATCCTTTTAGCCAACAAATACTATTTGTATATGTATCATGTTCGCCTGTAAATTGTGCTAGAATAGAAATATGACTTCAATCATTTCAGAAGTTTATTCGATGTAAATTTACCGGGTATTACTAATTTATGCAAACACCACAAACACCCAACTTTTTAAGAACGAGTGTTGATTGCTGCTACAAACTCCCACATCTCGACGAGTTATGACGGCAAACACCCGCAAACACCCAACTTTTCTAACCACTAAGAGAAATAAACCGTCAACAAGTTCGAAAAAATCACCCATCTCAACACTAACACCCAATAGCTCTCTTATTATCGCGACAAACACCCACAG